ATGGTCTTCATTATTCCGCCCGCTCCTCTCTCCAGCTTCGTGCTTTCTCTGATGCTGATTGGGCTGGCGATCCTACTGACCGCCGCTCTACTACTGGGTTTTGCTTTTTTTTGGGTGATTCTCTTATTTCTTGGCGCAGCAAGAAACAAACTCTTACTGCTCGCTCCAGTACCGAAGCTGAATATCGTGCCCTTGCTGATACTACTCAGGAGCTTCTCTGGCTTCGTTGGCTTCTTGCTGACATGGGTGTTACTCCCTCTGGCGCTACTGCCCTCTTTTGTGACAATCACAGTGCTCTTCAAATTGCTCACAATGATGTTTTTCATGATCGCACCAAGCACATTGAGATTGACTGCCATTTTATTCGGCAACATGTTACTCATGGTACTGTCCATCTCCATCCGATCTCTTCTGTTGATCAACTTGCTGATATCTTTACCAAAGCTCATTATCCTGGCCGCTTCGTTGACCTTGTCTCCAAACTCAAGTTGGTTGATGTTTGTCCTCCTTGAGTTTGAGGGGGGATGTTAATAATGTTAATACTTTACCTATAATACTATACCTATAATTTAATATAATACTATACCTATAATTTAATACTCTTTGATCTGTAATTGATCTTAGCTAGTTGTTGCTAGCCTAGCAATAGTTGTTGGCAGATAGACATCTTCTTTACATCTTCTTTTCCTTTTGCTTTCATTTGTATAATTCATTGGTTCATCATTTTGTCTTGTAAAACATCTCCTATATAATGGAGGTTCCATTTGGTTGCAATACACATCAAAAACACAGAGCTAATATTTGCTCTCTCAATCTCTCTCAATTTCTAATACTTTTTAACTGCGACAACATTACAAAAAAATTTTAAAATGTTAACCCCATGGCAAGAGATTGAAACCTCTTAGGTGCTAACAATTTCTTTGGGGCCACCGGTCTTGGAAGAAAACCCTTGAATTAACTATGGTGCACTTACCGGAAACTCCTTGCCAAGGCCTGTGTCCGGACACCCAGTGCCAATCAAAAAAAACAAAGTATGCCCAGTTTAGTCCGGTTGAATGGGGTCTGGGAAGATTAGATTGTGTCGATTATGTCTTTTTAGTTTATGAGTTCTTTTGCATTTATAAGTTGTTGAGCTGTGATCAACATGTGTATAACTCGTTTTTGACAGTTTTAACGTAACTGGAATGCGCTCCAGCTGGTGTAATAATGCCATGACAGTGGTGGCGATGTGATAATGATTAGAACTGATTAAATTTCAATTTTTTTGGTTACTGTTACAATTTTTTATTTTTTTAGTTGAAACTTCATAGCAATGATTTATTGGGAAAAAGAAGTTATAGATTAGGAAATCAAAGGGCAAATGATGTAGATGATGATTTGGCATTGCAGCATGGTAGGGGGACTTCTGGGCATTAGGTAGAAGAAAAAGGGTACAGCAAAAAATATAAAAACTTCAACCAAAGATGAACACATAACCAGAGGTGAGAAGCTCATGCTTTGGCATTATGATACTTTATATAGATGCAATAGCATAAATTGGTACTTTCTCTCATGATTTAGTTACTAGTGGGTGTTACGAATAATGGGAAATTCTTAATTCTTTCTTGATTGATTTTAGAACTTACGCTAATTTCAAATTAATCACAAGGAACATGTGTTTCTCTCTGTCTGTTTGCCTTTTGCATTTTAATTGCTTCTCTCTACATAATTTTTCTTCTCTCTAATAAGTCCCCACTTCAAATTTTCTTCCCCCCCACCCCACCCCACCCCAATTTATTACAGAAACTGTTGTTGATTTTGCTTTCAACTAGATTTTACTATATTCTTTTCAGCATTGCTTTTTTCCTGAATCGTACGACCTTCGTTATAATTATTATTTTTGATTAAAAAATACCCTTTCTTGAACCAAATTGGCTTAATCAACTTGCGCCATCCATTTAGCATTCTCAAAAATGAAACCTTCAACAATATTAACTAATGGTCCGTTTATTTTGGTAGAAAATATTTTCCATAAAAAATCTTTTTCTTATATTTGGTTGCCACCTTAAAACCTAATGTGCTAGTGATTGAATCAGTAGTGGTGTTGGTGGTGGAGATGTGTTGTTGTGGTGGAGATGGTGGTGGTGGTGGTGGTGATAGTACGGTGACATTGATAAATATTTTCCACCTTTTAAAATTGAAAAATATTGTATTCCCAAATAAACTTGTTTATGTTGACTTTTGTTTTTGTCTTATCAAACACCCAAAAATACAAGAGATTGTTTTCTGTCAAAACAAATGGAGCGTAATGCAGTAGTTCAATTGCAGGGGAAGATCTTATTGCACAGCTTCAAAGAAAACACAAATGAAGAATGATACTTTGCTTGCAAAAGCAGAATTTCACAATCACAAGAAGAATGAAAACAAATCTTTGCTGCAGATACAAAGGCACAGCACTGTTAGTTACCAGTAAGTGGGAAGCCAATTCCATGGCGTTGGGTAGGGAAGACAACAAACAACATACTGCAAATCACCCCAATCCCAACCGGCAGCGATGTAAGGACCTCTTGTGCTTCATCGGACGGTGTTGGATAAAAACAGCTCACAACACTTTGATCAAACAGTGCAACAGCTGCAAAAACCAGTATTGACATGAAGGCATGCATGAAATCTATAAATTTCAACCGGTACTTCTTGATTTTGATTTTGCTTACTACTAGATTTTACTATATTCTTTTCAGCATTGCTTTTTTCCTGAATCATAGGTCCTTCGTTATAATTATTATTTTTGATTAAAAAATACCCTTTCTTGAACCAAATTGGCTTAATCAACTTGCGCCATCCATTTAGCATTCTCAAAAATGAAACCTTCAACAATATGAACTGGCTATATTGACTAATGGTCCGTTTATTTTGGTAGAAAATATTTTCCATAAAAAATTTTTTTCTTATATTTGGTTGCCACCTTAAAACCTAATGTGCTAGTGATTGAATCAGTAGTGGTGTTGGTGGTGGAGATGTGTTGGTGTGGTGGAGATGGAGGTGGTGGTGGTGGTGGTGATAGTACGGTAACATTGGTAAATATTTTCCACCTTTTAAAATTGAAAAATATTGTATTCCCAAATAAACTTGTTTCTGTTGACTTTTGTTTTTGTATTATCAAACACCCAAAAATACAAGAAATTGTTTTCTGTCAAAACAAATGGAGCGTAATGCAGTAGTTCAATTGCAGGGGAAGATCTTATTGCACAACTTCAAAGAAAACACAAATGAAGAATGATACTTCGCTTGCAAAAGCAGAATTTCACAATCACAAGAAGAATGAAAACAAATCTTTGCTGAAGATACAAAGGCACAGCACTGTTAGTTACCAGTAAGTGGGAAGCCAATTCCATGGCGTTGGGTAGGGAAGACAACAAACAACATACTGCAAATCACCCCAATCCCAACCGGCAGCGATGTAAGGACCTCTTGTGCTTCATCGGACGGTGTTGGATAAAAACAGCTCACAACACATTGATCAAACAGTGCAACAGCTGCAAAAACCAGTATTGACATGAAGGCATGCATGAAATCTATAAATTTCAACCGGTACTTCTTAGCATCGTCGGGCGGCAGAGTAACCGTCCCGTCAATGACCCACAAACCGTGGACCGTGGCAAACCCATAACAGATATTTCCCTTTTTGTCCTTAAAGCTATCTGTGAAGCTCAGTAAAAAACATGACAGTCCACACAGAGCTATTAATCCAGCAGTCATGGACCGGCTGACTGGGTCACACTGGCCTTGGTTTGTGAAAATGGGCGAGAGGAGTTGGAAAGCAAGAACCGACCCGGTTGGTAAAAGATTGGCTAAATGGGCTGTGCTCTGAAATGTCTGGCTAATGGCCTTTTGTACTAGGGTTTTCTCTATCGTCACGGATAGGGATTTATCTACCAAAAGGGGGAGTTTTTGTTCATCGATGTTCCGGGTATGCTCATTTTCCACCTTGATTTCCATGTTTTGATCTTTCTGTTTTTGTTTTAATCGATTTGAGCTTTGGTTATGAGAGGGTGGTTGAATTTATTAGTAGTGGGGAGAGATGTGAATTGAGTTGAATTAAAGGATAGGCAAGGTGGCTAATGATGCCTTGCAAGAAACAGAAAAAGAAAACACAAAAACACTTTTTCCGCAGGATTTTAGAAGGGGGAAGTTTTGATTTCATGTTTGGTGATGAAAAAGTTGTTTCACAAAGGTGGCAAGGGTGGCTTCTTTAATGTGTACACAGCTTGCTAACCGTTATGGACTTTTTTTTAGAAGCTGAGAGAGAGAGAGAGACAGAGAGAGAGTTCTTGGAGTATGGTTTCATTAATCTCTGTATATAGAAAGTCCTTTTTAGATTTTTTTCTTTTTGAGATGAAAAGTTTCTTGCTACACAGAAACCTTGGCGTGGTTGGTTTTTATTTTATCTGGTTGAAGTAGTTAGAGGCCCACGTTTTTATGCCTGCTTTTGCTTTTCATTCTATCAATAATATTTGTTTGGCTTAAAAGGTTTCTGCTTTGGACTTGGAACGACTCTGTTTAAAATTTTCATTACCATTTATATTTACAATTTTTTTTATATTTATATTTATAAAAAAATTGACAATTTTTTTTATATTTATATTTATAAAAAAATTGAAATTTATAAATAAAGACTCGTTTGATACCTATTTTCGTTAAAAAATAAAAAATTTGTAGCAGCTTACAAAACTCAACCAACTAACCTTATATGGTTGTGATTTAAAAAAAAAATAAAAAAAAAAAACTTTATGATTGTGGATTCGAACTTGTGGATATAGCCGCTTTGTATAAATTATGTCAAATTTTAGGATTTTACTCGATCTACCTTTCATCAAGTGGAGACTAAACTTGGTGGAGGTGGTGTTATTATTTTTATCGGGTAAATTATGCTTACATTCCCTGAGAGGAATTTTTTTGTAGTTTTAATAATTACAGAAATCTCTCTTACTTTTATTGACAATATCAAGATTTTCTCAATCCGTTAATTTAGCACAAACGCCGTTACTTTTATATCTAAAATGACCATGTTGTCCCTTTAAACTAATAAGCTATTTACATGAAAATTTTCACTCATCTCCCATGAGATTTTGCATATATATTATTAAAGATCCATACATATTTTAACTTATCATTGTAAGAGTTTAATATGAGACCCTAACAATTAATACAATACTTATAAGTGTTATTTCACATTATATAAAAAATAAAATATTTGTCAATTTTAATTAATGCATTTATTATTTAAATTTCATTTTTCTTCTCTTTTTTTAAGCTAAAACAAATGGATTAATTATTTTTTTCTAGGAATTTGTCCTACTTATTTACTCATATGTAAGAAAATTATTTATACCTAAATTACTAAGATATTATTACCAAATTTTAATTTTTATCTTCGAGTCATTAAATTTCTTGTCGATACATATTAGAAAAAAAAAAAGGTTATTCTTACATGATTAAAAAAAAATTTAAAATAAATATAGAAGTAAAAAAAATCTAATCACCTCACAATAAATTAAAATTAGTTAATAGGAAATGAAAATTTAAGAAATCACTTGAGAATAATAAATAATTTAAACAATTTCTCATTTCTTACACCTAAAAATCACATTAATTTTCATTTGAATGGAGAAATTATTTTAGAATACTAAAATACTCAATTAATTTGTTGTATGATACTTAAAATATATTTTTTCATCTTTATGTTTCTCATATAAACTATTTTTATTAAATTAAATTTTAAAATTAATTTCTCACCTTCATTAATGGTTAAATTTTTACTTTATTTTTTAATTTCTCACCTTTATTTTGTTCTATTATTATTTATAGCGAAACATTATTATTTAAATTATCTAATTTTATTTCTTCCGTATGTCTAATACTCATATAATTTTATTGACAAATTGAGAAATCATACTCTAATACTAACACAGAACGAAATACAACTTTTTCTAAAATATATGAAATTATTATTTATTTTTCATAATTTTTTTTAAAATATAAATATAATTTCTTGACTCTATTTTTTCCACAACAAATTTTTGAACTTTTATAAACAAAAACTATAATAAAAATTCAACCATCAATGAAGAAGAGAAATAAATTTTAAGATTTAATTTAATAAAAATAGTTTAAATGTATGTAGACACCCTATTTTTGACCGCCCTTAAGACTTGAACGCAACTGATGGTTTACATGGTGGAGAAAGGTGTGCAGGGGAAAAGTTCAGTTTCTTCGGCAAGGAGAGAGTGAAATCTCAACTTCATACCCCTTTTTGGACCAAAAAGATTTTAGACCTTAAAACCCTCTCTTTCAAAACGATTTTGAAATAAAGTTTTTACGATGTTTCGAGGCTCGCATTTTGTCAAATGTTGCTCTTATCGATAAATCGAGCAAGGACAAAGTAGAAATCAATGAAAGAGAGATGAAATCTTTGAAAAATCTTTCAAAACACTTTGTTTAGGGGTTTGGAGTTGAAGAAAAGAGGAAATGAGAGAGGAAAACTAGTTTGGGAGAAGTTCGTCATGAATTCGGGTAGGACCAAATCTGCGCGGCTTCACCGAAACGGACATAACTCTTTGCACAGGAGGAATTTTGATGCGAGGTTGGCGCCATTGGAAAGCTAACTTCTGGGGCTTTAATGTGGCCACATAGCAAACTAGAAAATCAGATGGCCAACCAGCTTTTTTGGCCAAAAGTGGTTCAGCATGAATCTGAGAAGGAGAGAAAACATCTACGCGGCTTCACCGAAACGGGCATAACTCTTTGCACAGGAGGAATTAAGATATGAGGCCACCACCGTTGGAAAGATTACTTTCGGGGCTTCATTTTTCACTTAAGAATCTCCTAAGGACAAGTCCGGTTGGGGGAGATATGGTTGGTTGAAGTCCGTTTGGACCGAATCTGCGCGGCTTCACCAAAACTGGCATAACTTTTTGCACATGAGGAATTTTAATGCAAGGTTTGCGGCATTGGAAAGCTAACTTCAAGGGCTTCATGGATGACCAGCTTTGGGGCTTGAACCTTTTGACCCCTAGTTGGCCGACCAGGGGGAGTGGCCGGCCGGCCACTTTAACCTTTTGAACCTGGTCGGCCATTTTTGCCCTCCTAAGTGTGTTCCAGTTGTGCCAGCTATTCTGCATTTGACCCACTGTCCGAAGGTCTTCCCTTTTGGGAGGAAATTTGAATTAGTTTTTCCCCCCTTT